TTTAATTTGCAATATCCAACATAGAGTGTTTTGGGGTTTGCTAAATATTTTAAAGCATTTGAGTAATGAAGTGTTTTGGTGGTTTGCTAAAAAATTTTCAAAATAATTTTGAATACCTTGATCTTTCCTTCATGATTAACTTTGAAGTGGTTCATCTCATTGCCTTCTACGATGGAAAAGTGAAAAACGTTGTCTGAAATTATATTTTTGATGAAATCCATGAGCAATTAAAAACATATGATCAATTAGAATTTGTTTATTTACAGAAGTCGAATGAAGTCAACAAAATTACCAATTGACTTACTAAAATCTTTATCGGACCACCGTAATCGTAACACCTCCTCTCCTACGCCGATATCCTCTCTAACCGTTACATTATAAGTTTCTCGGTCAAATTTGGGAATATTATCGTTTTCATCGTCAATCAATAGAACTGCATTTTGATCAACAGATTCCCCTGAAGCATAGGTCGTTCTCAGCTTGAAGGTGTACAGCTGCTGCTGGAAAAATAAGCTTAGATCTCAATATTTAAATTAATCCTTGAAAAATTCTACCGTTTCGTGATCAAATAGCGTGGCAGTTTTGAGAATACCAGTTCTAGGATCAACTGATAAATCGCTATTTCCGATGATTGAGTAGGTGGCTGCTGAAAAGATCTTGCTAGGACCCAATGACTCTAATGTGCATGACTTGCTTACCGTTTGCATCATTATTATTCGGGATCTGGCCAACTACGCTCCCATATGGTGCATTCTCTCGAATCCAGAATTCCAATCTTCTATCGGTATTGGGACGCGTTGTTTCGGTAGAGGGTGGCAGCACATAAAGCTAAATACATTGAAGTGGGTTTTCAAGCAAGTAGTTTTTGGACATTGTTGAACAAGAATCTGTTACCTCAATCTCGGTTGAAACTCTTCCTTTCCAAGCTTGAGCTGTGCAATTGTAGAAGGGAGCCTGAACAGCAAAACAAAATAAAAAGTGGACAAAATGTTGGGTTATCATGTAATTCCCATTTAAACTCGAAAAATTCCGTGCAACTAAAAGTTTTGGCATTATATTAATTTGAAGAAAGAAATCTTTTCCTACAAGAAAATATACCTGTTTTAGCCACTGGTTCCGATTTTGCTTATTCAGAAGAGATTGGAATAGAAAAC